CTATCAAACGCAACGCCAACCGCTCCGCCAAGCAGAATCTGCTGAAGCTGAAAACGGTCAATGGCAGAAGATATCACAAAATCTCAAGACAAGACTTGGTTTAGGAATTATTGTAATTTGAATTGTATTTGTTTAAGAGTTTTTGTTAACAAGCTGTATATTATGAGAAACTAAAAGAAAGTTACAAAATTAGTTCTCAGTACAGCGACTGGAACTCTTAAACACTTGTTTGTCATCATCAAAAAGGGGGAAATTATTGCGAAAAATATTATAGATTTTGATGATGATGTATTTAGAATGTAATAGGGACTTTAGGTGTCCCCAAATATTCAATGTAATTTTTCCTTTTAGAAATATTGTTAAAACCAAGTTCTTGGGATTTTCAATAGAGTTGTGATATTTCTTTTGTAACGCCACAAAATATGGCCTAAAATTTATTATAAAACAAAAGTAGTTTTTATCCAATAAGGAATATTTGTACGTTTGACTAAAAATAAATGGATTTTAAAAATAATAACTTTTTGTTAAAATCTTATTTTTATGGATATGTCTCGAAGAGACAAATCCAACGGTACATTTTATGAACCAATCTGATTTATAGATTTCAAGCTATGACGATTTTAAATAGTAAAATTTGTAACTTTGACCCATAAAATAAACTAAATTCAAAAGTGATTTCATCATATTAGAAATCATAATTTTGACACTTGACAACATCATATTTATCATTTGGATTTAATTCATATATTTTTATCTCATTCATATTATTAAATTAATTTATAACAGAGACAGACCTGAACACTGAGAAAAATAAAAGTTCTTAGAAAACTATTTTGATTACGTCAAAATTCTAGTTTTGACAGTCTAATTCTAAAAAAACACAATCCGTTTTCACTTCGGAACAATTTGGGCGAAAAAGCGCGTACCGTTTGGAATAAACTGTTCAGTTTTGACAAGAAGCCAAAACTTTATTTTCCCAAATCCCTTCCAAATCACGTAGCCACTCTTTTGCTCAACTAGCCACCACAATTTTCCACTAAAGTCAAGATTTCCTATATAATACTCCACCTCCACCACCATCATCATCATTATACATCTTCACCATCATCATCCATCATCTCCTTCATCCATTCCTCCCTCTCCATTTTCTCTCTCTGTCGGCCAAACAAAAGGAAAAGAAAAGAAAGCTTAAACTCCATAGTTGGTTCAAGGAAGAAGAAGAGGAAGCAACAAACCATCTAAAGTTCTAAAATCCCGAGTTCAAACACAGCAGCCCACTTCTAGGTAAAAACTGAAATTTTCCATCCATTATCTCGAAATACTTTCGGAACCAAAGTTGTAGCCCCGGACGATACGAATCCAGCCCAACAAACGGCTCGCGATTTCGTTAAGTAACGAAAAGATATGGCCAAAATACTAGGACTGCGCCAGTGGTGGCGAGCTCCTCGGGTTGGCATGCGTTTCTTCACCAAATTCATATTATTTCATTCCAAATACTTACTAGAAACTCTCTAACAATTATTAGGAACATCCGGAAGGTATCATAGAGAAGGTTCGGCATTGGAATGTTGAAGTTAGTGAGTTAATCGTCGGAATCGTGTTCATCGACATATTCAAAATTCTGGACAGCAACTTTCCCTTGACTTCAGGTCCAATTTACGCTATCTTACATATGTTAAATCGAAATACTTTCTATACGAAAGTTATAGCCTTACAGCTTAGGAATCCACAGAATCAAACAGTTTACAATTCCGTGAAGAAACGATGGCGATATGCCCAAAATACCGCAGGCTGTCCAGTTGTGACGGAAATGACAAAGTTGGCAAATTTCGATGTTGTTTCCACTCCCGCTCATCCGTAAGGTTTCGGCCTATGATTTCCAGGTCTGTACCCTTGCGTTAGACTTGTCGAATCATTCATCATATACGTACATGAACATATATGTTAATCCATATGTTGAAATCATCCCAAAATATATATGTGATGCATATATAAGTCATCTATATGTTAAGATCAAAATACACCAAATCCATAAGGTTAATATACACATAAGTAAATATAAACTTTGGAAATCGACCCTACAATATGTATATTCCAATCAAAGGTGTTTAAAAGACTTAAAGAAGTATTTTGGACACTCAAAATATCAAGAGTAAGACTCGCAGACCAAAAACGGTCGACGCAAACGGTCGGTCGTCATCTTAAAACTTCGAAACGAACCACGACTGTCAGCAGAACGGTCGACCGCCGTCGGCAAACGGTCGACCGTCGCCTGTCCAGCCAAGTGCCGCCGTCCACCTCCAGTCAACAACGGTCAACCGCCGGTCAACCGCGGTCGACCGTCACGGTGATCCGCCAATCTGACCTGATGAAGAGCAAGGTTGACCGTCGCGCCAAACGGTCGACCGTTCCGAGCCTCGTAGCTTAATTAAATGATATTTTAATCATGTTTCATCCAAATAAACTAATGCATGATTATATATTCATATTGTTTACAAATTGTTCATGTCATATCATTCATTTCATCACACATATTGTAGCATATCATATCATATGCATGCGTAAGAGATCATGCGTAATTGCGTCTCTTATAGCGTGATGTGCGGGACTTACTAGTCCGACATCACCCGTTCCGGGCTTAGTGTACGTACATGGTATTCAGGTTTCGAGTACCACCCCTATTTTTCTAGTCTC